AGCAGAATATCAATTACAGTGGAGCCATCTAAGAATGTCTCTGGTTCCCAAAGACCCCCAGCCCTGATGACACAACTGGGTCTTGAGGGATTCCTAAACAACAGCAGGAAAGGGGCGAGTCTAACTTCAACGGGGAGAATGTTCCACAAGGACAGAGCCACAGCAGAGAAGGCCAGCCTACTGGGATCCACCAAATGCAAGTCCCTGGCCAATGGAATGTGTAGCATATCTTCCCTGCCAGATCTAATGGGATGAGCTGTTGTGATCAGGGAAAGGCAGTCTCAGATAACCTGGCCCCATGCCATGAAGGGCTTTAAAGGTCAAAACCAGCACCTTGAATTTGACCTGGAAGCAAACTGGCAGCCAATGCAGTTCGCAAAGCAGAGGTGTATTGTGTGCTCTTCTAGAAGCACACATAACTGCCCGTGCTGCCACATTCTGCACCAGTTGAAGCTTCTGGATATTCTTCAAGGGCAGCCCCATGTAGAGTGCATTACAGTAGTCTAATATAGAGGTGACTAGGGCATGAGTGACTGTGAGCAGAGCCTCCCATTCCAGGAAAGGGCACAATTGGCACACAACATGGAGTTGTGCAAAGGCCCCCCTAGCCACGACTGCCACCTGCTCTTTGAGCAGGAGTTGCAAGTCTAGGAGGACCTCCAAATTGTGCACTGAGTCTGCCCAGGGCAGTGCCACCCCATCCAGTACCAAAGTAGTCCCAGAACTGGCAGGATCCCGAACCCAATGCCACTCAGTCTTGCCAGGGTTCAGATGAGTTTAAATTTCCTCAATTTAGAGATCAAGTTTCATAAAATAATAATTTTTAAATTTAAAATTAATGGTGTTGCTCAACTCATCTCCTTACCATTTCTTCAAGTCCAGCATTATTTACATTTTGACCATCATGGTTTATATCTGCATTGTTTGCTGCAGGCTGTTGGATTCCTTCTTGTCTGAATGGGAACCACCCAGCTTGGTGCCTTTATAAGACATTGACAAAATTACTAAAAAAAATAATGTATCTTTTTAATCTAAGATGAAATAAAACATGTAAGTCAGGAAATAATATAAAACAACAAATTATAACAGATCAGTTAAGGGTAATATCATTTAACTCACTCTTCCCCAGATGCATTAGGAACACAACTTGTAGAACTCCTCAGCCAGGAACTTACATATTTTTGAATGCAATTGAATGTATTGTGTGTAATTGAACGCATAACTGAAATGGTTCAATTATATATTTTTGAATATATGTAACATGTAAAACATACATGTAGAAGCACTAACATATTCTGTTTTAATTTAGATGAGCACATAACAATCGGTGTAAATATGAGTGTTACTGATCAACTTTCACAAATGAAAAATATGCACACTTACTATACAATGGATTAAATCTTAATGTAAACTAAAACGTTCAATTGATTTCAGTGAGTCTAAATTTGACTAAAGTTGTATCAAACCACTATAAAAGATATAAACTGGGTGGTGAGTGAGAGGATTTCACACTCATTTCCAATTGTGAGCTATATGCCACATGCCCATGTACTGGATATGATCTTGCGCTAATAGGATACAGTGGGGGTGGTGCTGGACTAGGTCTAGGGAGACCTAGATCCAAGTCCACTCTTGATTACAGAAGTTCACTGGATGATTTTGAGACAATCATTATGTCTTCACAGGGTGGTTGTTGTAAGAAAATTGGGAAAAGGAATTCCTGGAGGAAAGGCAGTATTTAAATCAAACAAATGAATGTACTAAACCTCATAACCCTTTCTTATCAAAATAAGGAGTAAAAATTTGCTTTTCATGCTATATACATCCTTCAGAAAATTTCTGATGTTGAGTATCCGTTACACAGCTCAATTGTAAATAACCTAGAGGGCTATATATAAAATATTTTCAGAATCCAGAATATACATTCTCTGGGCTGTACTAATGTGAATTTCATACTGAAGATATTAAGTCATCAACTCTGAATGTACAGTTCAAGCGTATCAAACAACTAGTGAGAGCCTGTTTGGTCTAGTGGTTAAGGCACCAGGCTAGAAAGCAGAAGACTGTGAGTTCTAGTCCTGCCTTAGGCATGAAAGCCAGCTGGGTGACTTTGGGCCAATTTCTCTCTCTAGCCTAACTCACTTCACGGGGTTGTTGTTTTGGGGAAAGTAGGAGGAGGAAGACGTATTAGGTATGTTTGTTGCCTTGAGATACAGTGGTACCTCGGGTCACGAACGCTTCTGTTCACGACCAATTCGGGTCACGACCAGCACCGTTCGCAAAATTTTGCTTCCGTTCGCGAACTCCGCATCAGAAGACGAACAGGATCCGTGGCCATTTTCCCTGCTGACACACGTGGTCGTGGCTTCCTGTAGGGAGGGGGACTCTCCCTCCAAACAA